CACCTTTCCGTTACATTGGCTCTCACACTACACAAACTGTTGCATGTCATCACGGACTACATTCACACACACACACACACACACACACACACACACACATATATATATATATATATATATATATATATATACATACATACATACTGTACACACACACACACACACACATAAGATTTGATACACTAAAAGTGCACATTCAGTACAAGAAGCACACTTCTTTTCCACAATAATATGCACAAAGTTCCAAGCTGTCATTAGAAAACAATATCTTCTTATAATGCTAAATACATGTTTAATTAGCTTGTACGTTGCTTTTTGCACTGTATTCAAATTCTTCAGTTTGTTTTGCTGACGTATGGTGGTAGACAACAGGCCCTTGACTCTCTCTCTCTCTTTCTGCATCGCTCCCTCTTTCAGGCAAGAGAAACCCTAGCCGACTGTTACAACCTCAGCCACTTCATTTGACATCTTTGCACATATTGGAACGGTTAGCAGAGGCCTAGCCCCGTGACCTTGTGACCTCTCCTCCTCTCACACAAACACATAGCCTGTCTAAGACGGCCTCCAGGGAGGTCATGGATTAGGCTGAAGCTCAGAATACACCATTCCCCCACTCACTGGGCTCAGCTGTGGGGTTACGCTCTCTTCTTCCACACCACTGCACTGGTTGGGACTGTATTGCATCTTGGCACTCAAAGCACAGAGGGACAGAAGGATACTTGGGCCCTTAAGCAGACTTGGACAGTTTTGTATAGCCTTCAGAGGGACTTCAGTATTAGATAGTCTGTCCTGTTGCATGACTGAGTGTTTAAGATTTTCTGGCCTGTGCCTGCCTGGCCGCTCTTTGTTTTCCAAGCAGATCGGAGAAAGATCAGCTTCTGTCTCTCTAAGCCAGTGCACAAAAAAAAAGCCAGAATGAGATACTCTGCAATGACCATGCAAAATAATGAATTTAAAGGCATAGTACACCCAAAAATAAAACATTTTGCCATCATTTAATCAATCTCAGATTGTGTCAAAGCTGTATGATGTTCTTTTTTTGCATGGAACAAAAAATAAAAAAAATAAAAAATTCTAACGGTGGGGTCACATTTACTGTTGTTCTGCATTTTTATTTATTTTTTTGACATCAATCCACTTTTGACATCCATTTACAGTAGATAGAAATGCATGCAAATTAAAAAATAAAAATAAAATAAAATAGAATCCATTTTAAAGCTTGATAGCTTCAGTCCCAATTCCCTGTAATAGCATAAAAAAGAAAGACAAGCACACATTTTGGAACAATGACCGAATCTGTCAGTTTTGGGTGACCTATCCCTTTAAACATCTATTTATCTTTGTTTTCTCACTCCCTCTTTACTCCAGTAAGCACACAGTCTCTCTCCTGAGCTCCAGCAGTCTAGCTTTTCTTACCTGAGGTTATAATACTTAGACTGTGAAATCATCTAGTCACCGCCGCTCCCCAACTCCCCAAACTTTGCACCGCTCTTGTATAGCAGATCTTTAATATTTATGATTGTAGAGCCGAGGGAGCGGAAGGGGGCTGAGGGGTGGAGGTCCACACTGCTGCTTTCTTTGCAGTGCTGGCGGAGAGAGGCCCAGGGTGGCGGTTTAGCAGCCAGAGCCCAGGCATGGGCCTCCATGTTGAAATGATTAGGACACAGGAAGCTGAACCTGACACTGCTGACACCAGGCCTCACCGCCACATCCTGCCCACAAGACCCTCACTGTGCCGGAGCACCCCTCTCATGACAGCCAGACGGTGATTTACACCTTCTGATAAGAGGAACTTGGACATGGAGACGGTGGGCGTGGAATATTAAATGCTAGCACAATCTTCATGTCCATTCAGGACCATTTTGAATGCGAGAAAATGTATCTTTGATCATTAAATTCCACATGTATTCAATTATTTTTGGTAAAAATATGTTTTTATTGTTCAAATGTATTAAATGAAAACTGTATGCATCTTATATTTGAAATAAAAACAAGTGATTTCTCATGTTGGTCATATCTTATTTCTCATCAAGCAAACCATAAATGCCTCAAAAATGATATGATATTGAGAAAAAATTAAATGCAATAAAAAAATAAAATAAAAAAAAAACAACACTAGAATGACGAATGTCCATTTCATGCTGAATCGTGCACATACATACATACACAGCCTACATACATAATATCAGACCCGTGTTCCATTCCATTTCTCTTCAGCATTCTCATACTGACATATTTTCTGTCCTTGGAGAATTTGGGTGTGAATATTAAAAAAAATATATATATATATCTTCTTGCCTCCACTTTTCCTGACGGTATTTTTTTTGTACTGCAGATGTCTAGTGCCACCTTCTGGTGTGGGTTATATTAAATTCATACCATGCTTTTGTGTCCAGAATAATGCATGAAGAAGAAAAACATCATTGGCCATAGCACATTCGCAGTTTAGCTTTATAAATCTTATATGAATATTAATAAACTTTTGGCACTTGTTCTTGAGTACTGGGATTGTGTCTGAAAAAAAAAGAAAAAGAAATAAAGAATGAATAAATAAAATATATTTCATACATAATTAAATGCTTTCTGATAAATGCGAGGACAAATCCAAATCCTTTATCAAATTATGAATTATATGACAAAATCAAGGTTTCATAGCTGTCAAAAACTAGAATGTTTGCTTATGTTTCTGAATCTGTGATTAATCCGTTGAGCCTTTGTAACGGACATTATAAATGTTTTAAAACGTCAAAATTATGACCATGAATTTAAAAATAAGTGTGTGTGAAAATATGAGTTTTTGCAAATGCTTTGAGAAAAGTGAAGATGGGCTGACGTGATGTTTCCATGACAGGGATCATACGGACGATGTGAGTTATGCTTGGGCTCCCAGATGGTGGTCTCTTGTGATTGTTTTCTTTAATAACACACTGCTACTGTTGCCATCGTGATGGCCGCTGGTTACAGACAGAGCTTTAGAGAACCACTACCTCATTAACATTTTTAACAGGCCTGTTTGTTTGTCTTTCCTGCCCTCTGGTCATAATTATAACAGTCAATTAAAACCCTCAGAAAAAGGGCATAACAGTGAGGGAGCCAAACTATTAAACCGTGATTCACTAACTTTAGTCATATTCACCTCATCCTGTCTAGATGGAAATTACTGCTGGATAATTTGACCACAACTCTAGAGGATAAGATCAATTTACTTGCATATAATTCAGAGACTTGTTTTCAGAGATTGCATGTTTTTTTTTATGCATCTTATGCCATGCATGTTACTACTCAGAGACAGTTATCTTATTTCAAGGATTTTCAGAGATTTTACTTAGAAAAAAAATGACACAGATAGATATATAGATAGATAGATAGATAGATAGATAGATAAAAATAAATAAAGAAAGAAAGAAAGAAATATAGATAGATAGATAGATAGATAGAAAGAAAGAAAGAAAGAAAGAAAGATGATGGATGGATGGATGGAAAAAAGAAAGAAAGAAAGAAAGATATAGATAGATAGATAGATAGATGGATGGATGGATGGATGGATGCAAGGAAAGAAAGAAAGAAAGAAAGAAAGAAAGAAAGATGATGGATGGATGGATGGAAAAAAGAAAGAAAGAAAGAAAGATATAGATAGATAGATAGATAGATGGATGGATGGATGGATGGAAGGAAGGAAGGAAGGAAGGAAGGAAGGAAGGAAGGAAGGAAGGAAGGAAGGAAGGAAGGAAGGAAGGAAGGAAGGAAGGAAGGAAGGAAGGAAGGAAGGAAGGAAGGAAGGAAGGAAAGAAAGAAAGAAAGAAAGAAAGATAGATGATGGATGGATGGATGGATGGATGGATGGAAGGAAAGAAGGAAGGGAGGAAGGAAGGAAGGAAGGAAGGAAGGAAGGAAAGAAAGAAAGAAAGAAAGCAAGAATGAAAGAAAGAAAGAAAGAAAGAAAGAAAGATAGATAGATAGATAGATAGATAGATAGATGATATAAACACACACACACACAGAAATATCATATGCCTCTTTTTATTTACATAGATAAGTATAATTTGACAAAGATAAAGTAAGAAAAAATCTGCATATACACAAATCATCTTTTTACTTATGTATTTTTTTACAGACACACTTTGCATTATTCAAGCATTCTGCACTTATTCTTTGGCCGTCCAGTAGTTATATTTTTTATCTTGTGTCATATCTCATGTAAATTTCCACCATGTTCATCCATAAAGTACAGCTTTTACTCTCCTAGAACAAATCCCTCAGCCCACACCACACACACACACACACACACACACACTGGAAACATTTACAATCTGCTTTGTGGCTTCATTAGCATATTTCTGTATCAAGAGCTTTTTCATCTAACTAATACAAAGGTGAAACCATCTCCACTATAAGAAGAAAGAAAAAAAAACATGCCTGCCAACACACCAGAGACCTGGAGAGACATCGAACGACTATGTGGATGAGGAAGTCAAAAGTGCAGATGTGTGTGAGAGCAGTGTGAATCTTCATCTGTTCCCTTTTCTGGCTTTCACACTAAGGGATCTCAATGAATGTTTGCTAACTAGGCTAACTACTGCCAATTCAACGCGCACTTTCGATTATTCAAAATAAAGCTTTTTCTTTTGATATACGATGCAGGTTTAGTAGGAAAGACAGCTGAGCTTTTTGCTCTGACGGCACTTGAGTAGCTTGAGGAAGGTCTCCATCTTGTGGGCGTCCTTCTTGAAGCAGATGAGTAGGTTGTAGTCCCTGAGGACGGACTCCGGGATCTCTGGGGACGGTTCATCGTATGGGGTCAGCGCGTGCTCGAAGATGGACGGCATCAGAATCCCTTCATCCAGCATCTGCGGAGAAAGCGGAGTGAAACGCTGCTCGGCTCGGCTGCACCGTGAGACGCTGTTATTATTGATTTACCTTGCGGATGAGGACCACCACCCCCTGCTCAAGGCTGAGCAGTTTATCAGACACCCACTTGGTCTTGTTGAGCAGAGCGTCGGGGGCGTCATCGTAACGATTAAGAGTAGTTTGCAGATAGATCAGGGGTTCCATCCACGACTGCACCAGCATCAGGACCGAGTGAAGCAGCCATTTATCCTGCATAAAACACACCGCAGACGTGAAAGGGCTCATGGTACGAACAATCCAACGTTTATTGATTTATTTTCTTTTCTTTCAAAGAAAAGAGTTTGATGACAACATACTGTAACTTTCAGAACTTCTTCTCCAGTCAAAAAGGAGCATGTATTACTAAGCTGCAAAAACGATGCACTCAAACTTTCTGACTTGAGAAACATGAATACATTAACACATGATCGCCCACATTTACACATCAACAAATAACGTTTGGTGTTCAGAAACCAGCCCACCAAGTCACCAAGATGAGCTGTAATTCCGAAACACCAGAAAACGATACACATAATTCCAGTTTGCATGCAACTAACAAAAGCTGATTATGTAAGCTTGACCTTAAAAGTTGTGATGCACAGATTTCAAGATTTGATTTGTTCTCACGGTAATGCAGACCAGGGTTATTATTTGTTAATTAAAACTAAAACCATAAAATAAATAAATAAATAAATAAATAACATATTTTATATAATATAATAAGAAATATAATAGAACATTTACAGAATATAGAACTATTATACAATTTAAATGAAATTAAATAAAATTTTTCATTTTCATTTAGATTAACTTAACTTAATGTACTGGAATAAATAAAACAAAAATTGGAACAAAAAATACCAAAAACTACATAAAAAAAATAATAATACATGTAACAAAAACACACTGAAAATTTATTAAAAATAATAATAAAAATAAATAAATAAATAAATAAATAACACTGATTCAGAAATAGAAAAGAGTCTGTTATTGAAAGGTAAGGCATCAGCAACTATATTAGACCCGACAGAAAACCATCACGCCTCAATTTCACACGCGGAAAAGGCATTTAGAAGCACAGTCGCAAAAAACATTTCCATTTAATTCTAAAGGTCAGAGGAAATGTTATAGAAAAGTAAAATATAAATGATATTTTTAACTCACATTTTACATGAATCTCAAGTATAAACAAATAAACAATTTATCAAATAAATAAATACATACTGACCCCATTACAGACTTCAAACTGTAAACGGACTAAACACTGTGAATACAGCAGTCAAGACGACAGCCTTCATAAACCAGCAAAGCTCTCGGTGAAGGCGAGGTTACAGGAGGTAATACGTTTTCAGTGTTTTTGCAACACTTTGTATGTACGGTAGCTCCAGACGAATTTTCAGAGACTGTAAAATGTCTAAATCAAATGGAAAGACGCGTCTACTTTGGCTGCGTACACTGGTGGCGTGACGAGACTCATTAACTAGTAAGAAACTAAAGCACTTTGCAGCGAATGTTAAAATCTATTTCAGCAGGTGGAAAAAAAAAAAAGATATATTGAAAAAAAAACAGCCTATTTGGAGACAGAGGCAATATTGTTCTAAAGAAAGGTTAGTCTCTCAATTGAAAGAGCTGTTACACACTAGTGCATTCAATGAACAAGACAGCAGTCTTTCACACAAAACCTGTTAAGCAGAGCTCATTTGTTCAGAGCTGGAGCACATGGATCAGGTTTCAGCTTTCCACTGCAAGCTTAACCTGTTTTGAAATGCATGGATGGATGTGAATTAAATTATCTGTGGATGCTGTTCAAGAACATTAGGTAACACTTTATTTCGATAGTCCACTTTAGACATTCTATTAACAGTAAGTAACTTTGCAACTACATGTCAACTAGCAGTTAGTAGAGTATTAGTAGACTGTCTGCTTAATATCTTCTAACACTTTCTTTGTCAACATTCTACTAACCCTAAACCTACCCTGTCTACTCTGAGAGTTAGTAGACATGTAGTTGCAAATTAATGAGAATTAGTTGACATGTAGTTGACATGTAGTTACAAAGTTACTTATAGTTAATAGAATGTCTAAAGTGGACTATCGAAATAAAGTGTAACCGAACATTAACCTGAATATTTAAATTTACCTGAAAAACTAGTATTGCAAGTTTTGCTTTCTGAAAAATGTATAAATGTATACATTTATCAATTTATAAAAATGAATTAAATATTAGCTTACAATAAGATATATGCAGATGCATATGCATGTGTGTGTGTGTGTGTGTGTGTGTGTGTGTGTGTGTCTTATATATACATACACACACATAGAAACCATGATTATTTTTCTCACCCCACCTGACAGATTTATTTATTTTTAATTTTTAATTTTTTGAATGAATTCATGAATGCTTCATTTTGATGAAGTCAAATGTATCTTGATTTAGGAATCTTTAGATATTTGTACTGGAAAACAAGACAAAAAACTCTAAGTAAGAAAACCATATTTTGCATGTAAAAAATTAAATAAAATAATAAAAAAATAATAAAATAAAAACAATAATAATAATAATAATAATAATAATAATAATAATACAAATGTTTTCTATGTATCTTGATTTAGGAATCTTTAGATATTTGTACTGGAAAACAAGACAAAAAACTCTAAGTAAGAAAACCATATTTTGCATGTAAAAAATTAAATAAAATAATAAATAAAAACAATAATAATAATAATAATAATAATAATAATAATAATACAAATGTTTTCTATTTTTTTATCTGTATTTTGTTTAATTCCCCAGTCAAAATATCTAAATGCCCCAATAATAAAATTTATTAATTTAGCAATTAACCCATTGAATTAACTTATTCTAAGCAGAATTGCACAAGATACACTGAATTAAGTGTATTTCAATCGCCCTATTGGTTTTAATTAATTGTTTGTTAATTAATAATGGTTATGTCTTGGTATAGCATGTCAACTTCCCTACATTTTGTTAGATTTATGCCTAAAATAGAAAAAAAGATCAAAAGATCCAAAATCAAATCTTATATAAAACCTAAATAATCTCAAGTTTAGTTTTTTTTTAAGCATGTTTAGATACTTATTACTGGAAAGCAAGGAAAACTACAGATTAAGACATTATTTGTTTTGCAATGTACTGTAGAGCTTAATACTTAAGATGTACTTTGAAGTGTCACCATAAATCAAGATCCACAGAAACATATTCCACATATCTTGCTCATATTAAAAAAAGCAACAACCCAAAGAAAGAAACTGCTAAATTAAGAAATGGCTTTGATTCTTGGCCAACAAGCTAAACCTGCAGTGGGAGGATGAGACCTCTCGAGTCAATAAGGCTTCTCACTTTACAATGCTAGTTTGTATTTCCAATATAAAATCAATGAAACATCTCCTCACTGAAATCTGCTGAATCTCACTCTTGGAGCCTGGGATGGGGAAGGGTTTGGTGTGGCACATGGTTCCTCCCTGATTCCTCAAAGCATGCAGAGGGTACGGGACAAACATCTGCTCCTGTAGGATACATGAAGATGAGGACATTTTAGAGGAGTCTTGACTCTCTGTTTATGTGTTTTAGATGCTGTCAATGTGTCATTTAAGCCGCTTTTGACTCGGAGAGTGGACTAATTTAAGGTTTTCAGTGCAGTGCCAGTAGTTCACACGAAAAATTACCCACATATGTCACTTCAGACGACATAAAAGCCTTCCTTATAAATGTGTGAGTGGAGATTAGAAGTGAGAAATGAAATTATACCATCATGTTTTTCCACTGCGAGGAGACAATCTACCTAAGAACGGTGAAATAATCTAACAAGACTGATAGGCATCTCACAGTGTTTATAATGAGTCTGATTATTCATTAAGATTACAGTCTCATTAATTCAAAGTCATGCACACAGCCGGGAATAATGAGGCAAGGTTGATTAAATGAGACAGAATAATGACATTAAATGAAAGAAAACTTGCTATCAGTCTGGCTAATAATATCTCAGCTGATGAGATGAAATGAAATTTGTTATCTGATTCTGTGTTTAATATTTATTTAAAGAAATAAGATGCAGAGATTTAGCATCAGTTTATTTATACAATTATAATACAACTAAATAATACATGTAATAAATTATTTCACTGCAAAAAAAGCGATGTTCTTCCTCAGTATTTTGGCCTTGTTTTCCAGTATAAATGTCTAAACATTCTTAAATCAAGATGCATTTACTTGAGATGCAAAATGACTTAAGAATTACTTTTTTATGAAACATTTATAAAATGAGTTTAAAAATATCTGTCATTGCAGTTAGAAAAAATAGTCTTGTTTTCTCTTAATTACGATTATTTTTCTTACCCTATTGTCAGTTTTTTAGACTTAAACTCACTTCTAGATTTTTCAGAAAATATTATCAATTTGAAAAAAAAATATATAAAGTTAATAGTGAAGATCATATAGACTCTTTGACTGACAGAGATGGTTCACTCACAAAAAGAGTACAGGACTCTTCAGAGACGCGGTAGATGAGCTCTGCATGTTGGATGACGCGATCCAGAAGTTTCTCTTGAGAGATTGAAGTGCATTGGATGAGTGATCCGGTCTCGTCTTTGCAGTCCAGAGGAACGGTGTGAGAAAGCCAGCACGGCCACAGAGACACACACCACAGCCAGGCCTGCAGAACTGAGGACACACACACACACACACACACACACACACGTGACCAGAGAAACACACCATAACTGAGAGACTCACTTCAGAGATTCACTTTGGCCAAGAAACAGCTGAACTGTTAAGCTAATATCCTTAGAAATATTTTTGCTCTCTGTAGAGATCACATATTTAATAAGCGAGCACTGTTTTCATTACGACGCTAATGCATTTCTCCTGGGCTTTAGCTCTAGGCAGATTTCCTTGCAAAGAGCATATCAAAATCTGGAGTCAATGTACCTTTAACCCTGTTCATTTTGCACAGATTTGTCTATGATCAGTTGCCTGCATTCGAGACAAACGCACTGGCTTTATATAGCAGTGATTGGTGAATATTCACAGAGATCCATAGATTCATGAACTCACCTGCTCGAGTGTAAGAAGAGCCGTGGCCTTCTCCTCAGACTCCTGCATATGCAGGCCTTTAACCTGAGACGTCGTGACAGATACCTCTGAGAATACGAGAATGCCAATGAATGCATGGGTACAGTTAATAAAAATGCCCCCAAAAATAATGCAGGTTTTATTAATGAATGGGAAGTTGCTAAAAATATAGCAGCCCAAGATGGAAGAAATGTATTTAAAGTTGAGCTACAGTCAAGTTGCCAAGTCAGTTTTTTTTTTTTTCCTCCACACAGTTTTTTTTTCTCCTGGCTTTGCCATGACAGAAATAAACAAAATAAATGATATTTTAAAATATATTAAAACAGAAAATATATTTATAATTAATTCAGTGTAAGAAGAGCCGTGGCCTTCTCCTCAGACTCCTGCATATGCAGGCCTTTAACCTGAGACGTCGTGACAGATACCTCTGAGAATACGAGAATGCCAATGAATGCATGAGTACAGTTAATAATAATGCCACCAAAAATAATGCAGGTTTTATTAATGAATGGGAAGTTGCTAAAAATATAGCAGCCCAAGATGGAAGAAATGTATTTAAAGTCGAGCTACAGTCAAGTTGCCCAGTCAATTTATTTTTTTTTTCCTCCACACAGTTTTTTTTTCTCCTGGCTTTGCCATCACAGAAATAAACAAAATAAATGATATTTTAAAATATATTAAAACAGAAAATATATTTATAATTAATTCGTTTCTCTTGACAAGAAGTGCATTTATTCAGTCGCAGAACGAGAGACGTTTCAGACGTGCGCTCCACTTTACTTCAGCGCCAGGCGCGAGTCAAGCGAGCGCGGAAACGGTACTGTGCTTGCAGCGCGTGCTCTTCAATTGTACGCACAAAGGCGCCGGCGCGCGCTGTAGCCTGCATCCTTTCATATATGCAGGCCTTTAACCTGAGACGTCGTGACAGATACCTCTGAGAATACGAGAATGCCAATGAATGCATGAGTACAGTTAATAATAATGCCACCAAAAATAATGCAGGTTTTATTAATGAATGGGAAGTTGCTAAAAATATAGCAGCCCAAGATGGAAGAAATGTATTTAAAGTCGAGCTACAGTCAAGTTGCCCAGTCAATTTATTTTTTTTTTCCTCCACACAGTTTTTTTTTCTCCTGGCTTTGCCATCACAGAAATAAACAAAATAAATGATATTTTAAAATATATTAAAACAGAAAATATATTTATAATTAATTCGAATTTTTAAAGTGATATATTTGACAATATTACCATTTAACTGTGTGCATGATAAAATAAATGAGTGTTCACTAGTGACAAGAAGTGCATTTATTCAGTCGCAGAACGACTGAGAACGGGAGACGTTTCAGACGCGCGCTCCCCTTCACTTCAGCGCCAGGTGTGAGTCAAGCGAGCGTGGAAACGGTACTGTGCTTGCAGCGCGTGCTCTTCAATTGCACGCACAAAGGCGCCGGCGCGCGCTGTAGC